GTTATTGACACAGAGTTGCAAATGGACAAACTGAATGACCAGCTGCCGCTTGTATTGTATGCAGACACCTTCCATGGGCATACCTGGAAGCTCCAGCTCATGCTACTGCTGAACCTCCTCATAGGCTCATAGGCTGTTGTAGCCTGCCAACAACCATACCCTTGTCCCCCTCGTCTACAGATACTACCACAGTGTGAAATAAACGGATGCCCAACCAAGAATACAATCACTTGGTTTGAGGCTAATGAACAGCAAGCGGTCAAGAGACGCAAGGGTGGCACAAAAGAGAGGAGGAACATGCATCCCCTTTCATTATCTACAGTGGAGTGGCAGGTGATAAAGTGGGCCCAACTGACGTGTTGTCTTCTCAGCCATACTGAAGAGGGAAGAGGCTCTTCCGTAATCTTACCGCTCTGGCAGAATATGAAAAGATAATGACTTATGGTTTGATGGAGTTAACGCCCCAGGATCCAGCCTGTGGCTGACAATTACCCTAAAAAATGCTCAGAATCGTGCAATTAATGTAGCATGAGCTATAAGGTTTCCCCAAAACTGAACTGTGAATATAACGTTTATAACCTGAATGTCTGGATGCTTCCAAGTTTCCAAACATAGCAGGGCTCTTATCTAGAACTATCTACCCTATTCTTTTCACACCCCTCTTATCAGGCAAAGAAGATCAACAGGCATCATAATATCGGCCAAGACCATCGTTTACTTCATCGCTACCCTCTCCATCATCGGATGCCCAGTGTGAACTTAAGATGGCTTCTGCTGTCTGCACTTGCGGAAGGCAACAGAGGTTGGCCATTCGAAATAGATAAATTATTATTTGAAAAGACACAAAAGTTTGCTGTACCAGAAGCTCTGGGTGACCACCATAACAGCAACTCGCTGTTAGCTGAAGTGTAAGATCCCTGTAGAAAGAGCTGAAACGTTGCTGAATAAAAACACTGTGGTATCAATGTGGATGGTTTTCCCTTTTTCATCAGAAACAAGTGGATGCCAGGCCATGCAGCACAAAAAACGGAGAAAGGGGTAGAAAGAGGTGAAGAAGGGTTGACAGACAGACAGTGCTGTGTCTGTCATCAGGATTTGAAGTCATGGACTGTTTATCAACAGCTACATGTAAGTAGCATTCAGGACTTGCACACACGACCTGTTTATCAACAGCTATGTATGAGTACCATTCAAAATTTAGACTCGTTGAGTTCCTCCCCAAATGACCTACCGTCACATTAGCCAGATCTTCACTTTAAGGGATAAGTAGCGGTAAAGAAGAAAAAGGGTTAATGAAAGGATTCACTAGCCTCAACAGCCCACCCCCGGTACCGCAGTACCGTGTCCCATTTTTGTTTGTATCATATAGGGCCGCGCTTAGATATTTCTGGTAGATACAGTGGCAGACAAAATAGAGATCTGGTAGGATAAGTGCGAGGATCTGGGTCCTCGGCAGGCCTATGGGGCCCTGTTTGCAGCATTACCCGCCCTAAGTGAAGGCGGAGGTGCCCGCCCTAAGTAAAAGCGGGCCTGGCTTTTTGCAAGAGGCCCTCGACTGTCAATTTCATATTTGGGGTCCAGGCAGTTGCGACGCGCCAGTTGGTTGAGAGAAACACAGGCCGAGCAACAAAGACATTTCCACAGCCCTCCGGGCCTTTCCAAAGAATGCAGGCCCTGGGCGTGATTCACAGCCTCATACAGAGACAGTTGGGCGCCCAACCGAACGAGGCCCAGCAGCCCAGTAGCTGCTGTACACAGGCAGCCTCCTGGGGCCTTCCGGAAGCTGCTGGGCCCAGGCCAGTGCAGCCAGGCTGCACAAGCAGGCCAACTCTTTCCATAAAGGAAAGAGCTCTGCCCTGGCTGCATCATTCAAGCACTCGCATGTTGGCGGCAGCACTGTTGGAGCAAAGGCTCGCGACTGCTGGCTGGCGCTGAGAGGCGAGGTGCAGCACGTGCGATCATGCAGGGAAGAAGGGCGTTGCTGAGGACAGCGCCATAGCCAGCCTTCATAGCAGGCTGATCTTGGACTACAGTGAGGCGCAGGGGTGGTCTTCGGGTGAAACAGAGGACAGACGTGGGTGTAGTCAGGGGATAGGTGAAGGATGATGATTATGATGATGTGAGGGCACTTACCTTGTATTGGCGATGTCTTCAAGTACTTCGGGCTGCCGCTGATGTCAACAGTTGCATTGTCATTTCGTAGTCTGTAGTAGCTGTGTAGGAGTAGGCTGGGCGCTGAGCGCCAAGTGTGAGTGTGAAGGAACTGGACTCTTGTGTTGAGAGGAGAGAGTATGCTCTCCATGAACATTGGTTTTCAGTGCTACGAACCTCCATTGGTGTATTATTGGTGCAATGCTGCTCTCTGGACACGGTGTGACTATTTGGCTTTCAATGTGATGGTGTGATCTGGAATTGTCATCTCGCTGTTGCTTATTTTCCTTGCAATTTGGTATCGGAGCTGGTTCATATTGCGCTTCATTGGTTCTTCGCAATAGCTATTGGTGCTTCGCATGAGGTGTGAGGCAGTGACAAGGCATTGGCGTTGAACATTGGGCGGCCCAGGGTAGAGTGGGCGCGCCAGGGAGCTATGTGGTGACATACGGGGTGTATGCTGGATGATGAGAGCTCGCCGAGGGTGAAACCGCATTCTGCTGTTGGTTGTGCTGAGGCAAAGACCGGTCATCATAATTGCACATCAGGTTGCCGGTGAGAAATCTGTGGTTGGGGGCAGCATTTATGAGGTACGTTGCTCTCTTCCTTATCTACCCTCTTCGTTACTTCTTACCGTGATGAAGTGAGCTCTGTCTTGAGAGTCCTCTCGATGTGCGGTGTCGCGAGTGCTCAACCTTGAGAGTCGACATTCTTCCTGGGCAGCAAGCTGGTGGGAGACGGGCGAAGCTTCTGAAGGGCCCTGGACGAAGCACTCGGGTCACGGTCACCATGCCAACCCGCTGGGACTAGTACACGCATGCTTTGCCGCAAGTCCTTGGTTCTGCTGCTTGCGCAATAGAGGTCATGCAGGGCATGCCAGCCCTTTTGGACAGACGCTTTCCAGACCGTCTTTAAACATTTCTGGCTGGGGACTCGAATTTGAATCTGGCTGTGATCGTCGTCCTGTCTGCGACGTTAAATAATTCCTGAGGAGATGGGGGCTCTCCTTAAATCCCTCCTGATCAGCCATATCAATCGAGTGTAAGGCTCGTTGTATGCGAGGGTAAATAAAGTGCAGGGGCTGGCAGGTTCGGCGTTGACTTGGGGCACAGGGGTGGGCCGGATTGCACACCTTCAGACACGCTGCTCAACCAGACACAAAGTGACAACTCAAGAAGGATACAGGGGGAAGGGGGAATTCCGGTGACTATTCACAGTGGCAATCAATAATCAATCTGCCATCCAGTATACTTCTCCAGCAGGAGATGTTATTTCTATCTTTGATTAGTTAGTTGTTACAGACTTTGCTGACAACTGACAGACAACTACAGACAGACTAGACTCTTTGTTGTAAGGCGATCTGTATTAGACTAATCTAAAAATAGATGTGATATATCCTGTAGGACCTAACATTAGTTGTGACTATATCACCTAATTGTTTCTGTTCCAGCCGACCAATAATAGTTGTATATAACAGGCGGTTGTGTGTCACGCTAAGGTAGGATTCAATGTGAGTTCTATTTTAGATCACACACACTGTAGCTCATGAGTGAAGACAGCAGCGAGGAGGAGCAAAGGCTTGTGCAACCCATTAGGACCACACGGAGAACCGCTCTTAGTCAACCTTTGACTTTCTTGGAGTTAGGTCCAGGAGACGAGAGGAGGCTACGAAGGGAAGCTAGGGAGAGGGCAGTGGCGAGGAGGAATAAGGACGCAACAGCTAGCTTAGCGGCTGCGATGGCTACCGTCTCTTCGACATCGCAGTCCACTTCCCAGTCTTCTTCGCCAGGAGCTGGACAGGGTGGATCGGGTGCAGTTAGTCAGTCTATTGACTTGCAAGTCAGCCAACAGGTTCCACTCACACCTGAGGACATAGAAATCCAAAAAGCGGAAGAACTTCAGGATGAGTTACGGCGGCAGTTGGAGGAAGCATCAGGGAGGAGAAGAAAAGCAATCATGAGGAAGGCTAGAGTAGGGTAGAGGCACTAGGCAGACTAGAGGACCTAGATGAGGCGACATTAGAGCCTGCTGGACGCGTGCTGCGTAATGCTGTCCTATCTAAAGCTGAAGCGCAAACAGTTCAACAGGAACTGCTAACTGATCTAGTGGCAGGCCAAAAACGAATTTTGGATGCACTCCAGGCTCCTCGTCCAGTGATGAGGCAGCCACAGTTTGTTGTACTTCCCCCTGCAGGCGCGGGTCCTTCAACAATGTCGCGACCCACGGGACAACCCTTTTCTCCTATGTTTGGCATGCCCCCTCCTGGTGGTGTAGGAGTAGCTAGTGGTCCGGTTCAAAGAGTCTCAGTCGTACCATCTACAACAATGGTTACTACAGTCCCACTGTCAAGCCAGGCACAAGTTAGTGTGCAACAGCCTGTCTCAGTGGCTATGCAGCCGCTGCAGCAAGCCCCTGGGCCCATGCAGCCTACGCAGTGGATGCCCAAGATACCTTTGATGAGTCCCAAGCCCTTCTCTGGTGACGGGAAGAAGGAAGAGGACTTAGACACCTGGGTGAGGAATGTGCCTACTTATGTGAGGCACAAGCTCACAAGGCCAGAGCAAGAAGTTGTTGTGGCTGCCTCCTTTCTAGAAGGGTCAGCGGCCCGCTGGTTGAATGACCTAGTGCAGCAACAGGGCTACGGTCAGGATTTCGATGCATGGGCTCAGGCCCAGACATTGGAATAGTTCATACGGTCCGTCTACAACAGGTGGCATGACCCGCAAGGGGCTCAAAAGGCCAATGATGCTATCAACAATCTTTGTGCCCGTAGGTTCAAGGATGTTAGAGAGCTCACGGATACCGTAGAGCGTCTACTCGTGGTACCTGGTGTGCGCTTTGACCAGCAGGTTCTCTTGACGGATTACCTAAGGTGCCTACCTGCAGAGGTAAGGACCAAGCTGGTTGATGATGCCTATGTCAAACTGCATGCCTTCGCTACTTTTAGTAAGAAAGCTCTGGACATAGAGGCAAAGCCGGGATCTGCGCATAAGGCATCTCATGATGGTAGGAAGAGACTGCCCCAAGACTGGAAGAAGAAGGGTCAGTTCATGTTCATTGACCACGATGGTCAAACGACTGAGATTGACGATTTCCCAGACCTTGGGGAGTTGACAAAGTAGGATGGGGCTAGTGAGACTTCAGATGGTGGAGTCGTGGCGCCCATCAAAGAAAAGGCTACGGGGACCGGGAAGAAGAAGGTAGTACGGTCTACGGGTCAGGGCGACCAAGGGACACCCGCATGGGTGAAGATTGGTTTAGATTACGAGGTGTGGAGGGACCGAGTTGCCAGGGGCACATGCATGAATTATGGCAACTATGGCCACACGTCCAGGACTTGCCGCGGCAAAAAGGTCACAACGAAGGTAGCGTCACCGACAGTGGTGGGTTTATCTTCGAATCCTGGGAGTGCTTCTGCGAGCAGCTCACAGGGAAATACCTCGGGCCAGTAGGAGTGTTAGCCGCTCTTACTCGTGCTGAAGTGGTAACGTTGCCTTCCCCACTTCAGGCGTTGGCCAAGGCTAGAGACCCACACATCGCCCTGCAGACACATTCAGACCCACCGACGCTCTGTTCGAGAGATGTGTCTGAGGCCCTAGAAGATATAGAGACTGAGTGGTCAGGGAAGGACCCCAGGGACTCTTGGGCGATGATCAGTAGAGGTCCAAAGGGTGAACATTTCGTGGTAGAAGTAGATGTA